CCCCACCCCCCACCGGCCGCCGGGCGCTCCAAGACGGCCATGTTAATGCAGAGCCAGCAGCGCAGCCCGCGGGCCCGCGCGGAGGTAACCGAGCCCGAGAGCGAAGTTTTTCCGCACCGCAGCCCCGGGCGGGCACCGACCGTCCGCTCTCGCGGAGTCCGTCCCGGGCCAGGGTATACCCGGCCCCCTTTCCAGGTGCCGCCGCCCGCCCGCCCGGCGCCGAGACGCACGCCGCCCGAGCTAGCAGCCCGAAGCCCCAAGCCGCCCCTCCGCAGCCGCCCGAACAGCTGGGCTGAGGGCCTCCCTGGCCCCTCGGCCGCTCCCCCTGGGGGCCACCGCCGAGCCCCGAGAGCGCGGAGCTTAGGAAAAACCATTTACAAAGTTGAAACACCTGAAATATTTCTTTTTCCCCCGACACGTAGCAACAGGGAAGGCGAAGGGGGCGGGAAGGGCGCCAGGGACAGAGGCAGAAAGCAGCGGCGGCGGGGCGTGCTCACGGCAGTGTCGGCTGGAAAGTTGTGCGGGCGCTGCGGCGGCGGCGGCGGCGGCGGCGGCGGCGGCGGCGGCAGGCGCGGGCGGTGCGAAACGTACCTGTATTGTTCGCTAGTCTGGGCAGCGCAGGGCACGACGCGCGGCTCAGCGCTCCCCAGCCTCGCGCTAGCTGCCTCCACGAGAGCCGCCTGATTGGCCAGCGGGCTCCGCCGTTTAAAACAACCTCCTCGCCTGGCCATTGGCTGCAGGCCTCATGCATATTAAGCAGGTGCGGGCGCCCATTGGGCGAGGCCTCTGGGATCATTCATTCAAACAGAACAACCCGCCGGCCCCGGCAGCGGAGGCAAGACAGACGAATAATAATATTCTCACTTGCCCGCCCCGCGCACCTCCCTCCCGGAACCGAGCTGGGATCTAGACTTTGGAGAGGTGGCCCGGCGATTCCCAGAGGCCTTGGCCTGTGGCGTGATACGGCCAGGTCGTAGCCGGTGGTGCTGCCCTCTGCTCCCTCCGCGCCGCGGCCTGAGCGCACCCAGCCCCGGCCTCTGGCCCCTAGTCAACTCTCTGATCCTGGGAGACCTCCCCCAGGCCGACTACCAAAAGCCGACGGTTCTTCCCCGGTACCCGGGTGGGCGGCGAAGCCGCGGTAGGGGCCTGGCTGCAGCTCGCTCCTGGATACTCGGTGCAGGGCAGCTGCTTTGCCGCTGACACCTCGGGACAAGATTCCGTTCCTGCGGATTGGGCTCAGCTACACTCTGCCCCCACGGGCTGCTAGAACGCCCCGATTTGCGCCTGCAGTTGCGGGAATGGAGGGTCCAGGAGAGCATAAGGGAGGCTAGCAAGAACAGGGAAATTGTAGGTTTGTGGGCAGGGCTTCCCTCCTCACTGAGTCAGTTCGGGCTCTCCTTGTGTCTGCTCCCGACACACCCCCTAGCCAAGAATAAAAGTGCTTGGAATGAATGAATGAGTGAATGAATGCGGTGTGACTTGCTCTTGACCTTACCACTGGCTAGTGGTTTGACCTTGACAAATCACTTTTTTTTATCTTTTTTTTTTTTTTTTGACATGCAGAGTGGACAGTGAGAGAGAGAGACAGAGAGAAAGGTCTTTCTTTTTCCATTGGTTCACCCTCCAATGGCCGCCGCGGCCAGCGCGCTGCGGCCGGCGCACCGCACTGATCCGATGGCAGGAGCCAGGTGCTTCTCCTGGTCTCCCATGGGGTGCAGGGCCCAAGTACTTGGGCCATCCTCCACTGCACTCCCGGGCCATAGCAGAGAGCTGGCCTGGAAGAGGGGCAACCGGGACAGAATCTGGCACCCCGACCGGGACTAGAACCCGGTGTGCCAGCGCCGCAAGGCAGAGGATTAGCCTAGGGAGCCCCAGCCCCGGCCTGACAAATCACTTCTTTGGAGAGATTCAGGTAATCGTTTTCAAAGTGTAGGGAGAGCCGTGTCACCTTTCTAGCGCTATTAAGTAGGGACTCTCCTTCCCCAGATGACTTGCAGGCATCTCCACAAGTTAATAAAAAGAAGAGATGGTCAGGGATGCTAAATACCCCGCAGGGCGTAAAAGATAGGCACACACAGGGAACAAATGGCCAAGTCAATGTTGACGATGCATTGACCTAGTTGGAAGCATAGCTGACAGCCCTTGCTTCTTGGAGGCCCTACAAGCTTCCCGAAAAGGATGGGAGAAAAAGGCTATGTTAAGGGTTGAAATTTGCAGAAAATAATGCAAAGAAAACACAGGGTGAGGCTTTTTCCTCCATAGAAACTCCCTTTGCAATGCTAAGGGAGCCAGCTCTTTATGATTCTTCTATTCAGAAATGAGATCCGCCAGAAGACAGTTTTCCACCTATCTCCCCAACTCCTATACCATGCTCTTGCCAACTCACCCACTGACTGGGAGCCTACCACCTCTCTTCTTGGCTTAGCCATCTCGTCACCCCGAGGTCACCACCTTCCACCCGTTCCAACCCCTTCCCCTTCAGAGATATCGTGGCAGGCCAGACCTCCTCTCCAGGCAGGCAGTCTCAAGTGCTTACACAATGAGCCTTTAGTCGCCCAGACTGCTCACTGGCTCTGCCCAGCCCAGAGGGGAGCAGGGTGCTCACCTGTGGTCGGACCAGTACCTTACCTCTGCCACTGCAGTCCAGCCTCTCAAGGTTGTTGGGCCTTCCTACTCCAGAGAGTCAAGCTGGGGTCTCAGGCCACACAGGGCCTCCCTCTCGTGCAGCCACTGCCCAACGTGCTGGGAGGCCGCACTTGATGGAATCGTCAGCAGCACAGCCCACCAGAGACATCTGGCGTGCCCTGGCTGGATGGCAAGGCTCAAAGAAGTCCATGTGAACTCACCAACACATGGGGACACACCCAAGGCACCCCATCCCCAGGCCAAGCCAGGCAAACCAGAGCAATGCTGAACCATTAGAGACCTCACAGCCAGTCCCGATGTGCGGACACCACCCCAAAGGGCCAGGCTTCCCCACCCAGCTGCTTCAGCCCTGCCCACTGGCCCCCTGCTGCTGCCCACATACTTCGAATGATGAAAGGTGAGTTCTTCGTCCCGTGTGGCATTTCCAAATGAAGGCTGGAGCGCTGGGCCTGCTGCTTCAGCCTCTGGTCGTTATCACCACCTCATGGAATGTGACTATGACATAGCTGAGGGTCAGAGACCTGGAATGGTTGCCATGGTTTCCTGCTCCTGCCCCCCCCCCCAATAAACCAACACACATACACACCCCACCTTAAGTCTCCATATCGGGGCCGGTGCTGTGGCACAGTGGGTTAAAGCCGCAGCCCGCAGCACCGGCATCGAGTCCTGGCTGCTCCACTTCTGATCCAGCTCTCTGCTATGGCCTGGGAAAGCAGTAGAAGAAGGTCCAAGTCCTTGGGCCCCTGCACCCACGTGGGAAGACCTGGAAGAAGCTCCTGGCTCCTGACTTCAGATTGGTGCAGCTCCAGCCGTTGTGGCCAACTGGGGAGTGAACCAGCGGATGGCAGACCTCTCTCGCTCGCTCGCTCGCTCTTTCTCCCTCTCTGTATTTCAAATAAAATAAAATAATTCTTCAAAAAAAAAAAAGTCTCCATATCCTCTTCAAGGTGTAGCTCCCTCATTCCTCCAAGCCTTCCCCGTAGGCTCTGTGAGGAGGCCCCTCACAGCCTGTCACCCTCCTTAGCGCCACTGTCTGTGTGAGTGGCTTCCCACCTCCGCAGAAACTGTTCCATTCCATGAACACACATCGAACGCTTACTAATAAATACTGCAAGGGACACGAGATGGCGCGTAGGGCTGGGAGGCAGGTACAAGGCAGTGGCTTTGCGCTGTGTCACTGACACCCTGCTATGCCCTTTGACCTGTCACCTCACCCTTCCCAGCCTCAGTGCGCTCTCTCTTGCTTTACCCGCCCGTACCATGGCCCGGACTGGTGGTGCGGGCTACTGAGGATGACAGTGGCTGGGTTATCAGCAAAGGCTCCTGGACAGAGGAGTGCAGGCCAGACTGGAAGGTGAGAAAAGGGACAAAGTCAGGAGGGCCTGCGGCCAAGGTCAGAGCCCGGAGGCGAGGCTAGGAGAATGCTGCTCTGCCCTCCCTCCGGGGAGAGCGCTCAGCGCCGAGGCCGAGGCTTGGGAGAACCTCAACCTCGAATCCCTGAGGCTGCCCAGCTGCAGAGAGGACTTGGGAAAGCAGTCAAGTAAACAAGGAACAGCACCGAGTGGGGCAAATGCTGTGTGAAGAGGTTCTCCACCCCTGTAGCGGAAGGCCCACAAGATTAAGAAGGAATCCTCCGTATTCAACAGACACGAAGCCGGGCCCCCTTGGCCCACCTCCTGCTGCCTTCTCCCCCTGCTGCCGCCGAAGCCCTCAGCTGGACACCCAGGGCTTGAGGGGGACTTCCCCAGGCCCAGGCCAGCCTCTTGAAGCAGCAGAGCAAGTTTAGCCAAAGCCGCTGGGAGGACTGCTAGGGCGGGTAACCCACGTTAAGGCCTAATCTTCCTGTGAGGCCTCCACCCTCCACCCGGAGGCAAGCCCTCTCTTTCTATCTGACTTCCAGGCCTTGCCCCTGGCTCTGCCCCACCCTGCGCACCTTCTCCACAGGACTGCACTGCCTGGGGCCCCCTCGGCTCCTCTCTGGTACCCCCCTCCGCCCCCGCCCCCTCTGCTCTTCTGTGGGAATTGCCTTCCTACTGCCTTTCTCAGGATTGAGTCTCTGGGGCTGTTGCACTAGACTTGTGGAGATGCAAGCCCAGAAGACCCCTCAGGGCCCAGCTGTCCAGCTGCCTGGGACAAAGGACCTAGCATGGGGACAGTCGCCCAAGTCCCCGTGCGCGTCAGTGGCAGAGCCAAGGCTGAAGTCCTGGTCTCTTGAGCCTTGCTACCACACTCTTTAAAACCCTACCCCTGCTATAGTCAGCTAAACTTCTTCCTGTGATGCCGGCACCCCATAGGGGCACTGGTTTGAGACCCTGCTGCTCCACATCGGACCCAGCTCTCTGCTGTGGCCTGGGAAGGAAGCAGAAGATGGCCCAACTCCTTGGGCCCCTGCACCCACGTGGCAGACCTGGAAGAAGCTCCTCGCTCCTGGCTTCAGATCTGCCAGAGCCATTGCAGCCGTTTTGGGAGTGCACCAGGGGATGGAATACCTCTCTGTCCTCTGTCTCTCCTTTTCTGTGTCTATAACTCTGCCTCTCAAATAAATACATACATCTAAAAAAAAAACAAAAAAAAACAAAAAAAAACACCTCGCTCCCCAGTGAAGGCATCTTTAAAATCGAGTTTCACTTCCAAACAGCTGCCTGCTGCCTGAGTAGCCATGCAGGCCAACCTGACATGTAACCTAGAGGGCCCCAGGCCCCCGGTCATGTATGGGCCATGCATTTCATCCAAGACCTGTGTCAAGCACGCTGTTTCCCCCAGAGTGGGACCAGCGCCTGTCCCACGGGGCTGAGAAAAGGCTGGGAAGCCAGGGCTACTTAGCATGACACAGGCATGTTGAGCTGCTCAAGCCCATAACGAATCTGCAACCTGCATGTCCTTGCATATAACTGAAAAGCCGGAAGTGCGCCAG